ATATATATATATATATATATATATATATATATATATATTTAATTCTAGGAATTAGATCATAGAATGGGCCGGATCTCTAAATTGGTTAACGATTTCTTTTGTTTGTTTACTTTCTGTACCCTCCAAATTACTAACTGCACCAGTTCACCCAATGCCGTGTTATATTCAAAATTTTTATTTCTTTTATTTTTGGACCACAGCTAATATTTTTGATCTATCAATCATGCTAATTTAAAATAATTAGGTTAATAAAATTAAATTAAAATCATATCTTTCTTCTAATTTTTCAATAAAATTTCAGCGTTGTGTTTGTAAACATGACTAGTGTTTGTAAACACGACTTCACTCTATTTCTAAAAACAATATAAAATTTATTTCTAAACAGAAATTTATACAATAATTAAAAGAAAAATAAGTGTACTTCAAAATATCATTTTTAACATAAAAGTTAAAAATTATATTATTATATAATATATTATATAATAAACTAAGTTCGATTTTTAAGTATGTCCTGTTATAAGAATACAAGACATGTTTCATCAATTCTAAAAACATTCGCTTTCAAACATATTCAGCTGATGTTTTAGGTGAAATAGATTTTGTTTATCTGCTTTATCCCTACACATCAACCATGCCGTCTCGTGACCTCTCCACTTGCAAATTCTGAACTGTATAAACTCTGAAAATGATTTGAAGAACATGCAAAAGGGTCTGTATGGTGCCGTGTGGCTTTAGGTTTTGGTCCCTTTCATTAAAAGAAAATGAAGTCACAGGTTGCAATAGCAAACTTGTTCATCACCTAAAAATGGTGGCAGCAGCGCCATTAATGCTCTCTGTAGCAGAAAAATGAGAAATGAACACAGGTAAACAAAAGTAGGCAAAACATTTAATAAAGGGTTCTTAGGAACAATGGCACAAGCTCTAGGATTATAGACTTCAATTTTGTAAGACTTTGTCTAAATGCAAATGTCAATGGTAAAAGCATTGAACAGTGTTGTGCAGTTGAGGAAGCAATTAATGAAGAAGGAAAGAAAAGTCTGTGACTGAAGCCATCCTTTTCTTTCCTTACAGTTTGCAAAGTTTGAAAAGTAAGCAACCTACTCTCTCACCTTCCTTTTAAGAGACATCCCTTCTTCTTCATTCTATTTCCATGCTTCAAATATTATTATTCTCTTTGAATTTGATTAAGAAAACCAAACTGGTCTGATTTCTAAAAGGCTAAAACCCTTTCTTTCTCTTCAAATTTTCTTCCTTTTTGCTACATTTTTCTTGGGGAGACTTATAAATGTGGCAAAATCAGGCCAATCATTCTTCTTACAGTGATTCTGTCAAGGCTCTTGAAGATGATATACAACATGCTAATTCCTTGTAAGCTAATTCTTCTATTTAATTTTATAGCCAAGTGTATTATTCCATTCCCATTTGCCTTCTTCTTTCCGTTTTCATTTTATGGATGACAAAGGGCTGCAATATCACTGAAATATGTTTGGTATGATTAGAAATTCAAGTGTGATGGAAAACTCTCACTTTGAGTAAAGATGGTAAGAAAAAAAATACCGAGTTTTAGGTTAAAAGTAGTGTTAAAATCTTATATAGGTGAAGATATGTCTCATTTAGTGTTATGAATACATGCAGAATCCTCTCAAAGAACTCATTCGTGTGTTACATGCAACTGGGAAATGCATGTTTGTCCTTTGTCATACCAATATGTTAGGAAGATTCTTTACTGCTATCCAGTCACAAATAATCATATTTAGAAAGTTTATTGATATTTACAATAATTAAGATTTTTTCATTGTCATGTAATTACAAATGCAGTGGTTTATCTATGTCTACAGTAATTATCATGCAAGTCGTTTCATCAATGCAAAAATTGCATAGGAAAAAACTCTGATATATTGTGTTTGACTAGCTATGTTTATGACAGATGAGAACTTTAAAATTAGTGCAGGGCATTGTCACTTCCTGGAGATTGTGATGGGAACTTTTTTCAGATGAAATTATCTTACAGCCCCTTTGCACCTCTTTTCTTGCACTTGATTCAATGGTTGGATCTTAGTTGCACAGATACTTTACCTGTGTATTTGGGATTACTCCATATACTAATTTTCAATGTAAGTCACCATTGTTCAATTTTCTAAATTTTCACTCTTTCGTATACTTTCCCCACCCTTTTGTGGTGGAAATAAATGCAAATGAATTAGCTATGTTTCTTTTGTCTTAGTCCAGGTATACGCTGATGGAATACCATCTATTTCCTCAAGTGAAAGGAAAGCAACTATAAAGGAATTTTATGGTATGTTTTAATGTTATGTTACATATTACATGTGTGTATCTGGTTTTGTTGGTGCCTTTTTTCTCTTGAACTGTGAATCAACTTTGAGGATGATGGCATGCTTTTTGCAGCTGTTATATACCCTTCATTAAGGTTGCTTCAAGGCGAGTTTAACAATGATCCAAGACACAGTTATGCAGAAGTGAAGAGAAAGAGGCTTGAAAAGGTTCTCAGTAAAGATTTAGAGGGAGATGAAGAATGTGGCATATGCATGGAAAACAACATGAAGATGGTTCTGCCTAATTGTGGACATTCCTTCTGCATAAGTTGCTTCCATGATTGGTAATGTCAGATGCCACAACAGAGTTAAATTCCTTTGCCTATTCTGATAACTTCTTTTTTTCATAAATGAGAAAATACAATAGAAATAAATCAGTTTTTTTACTAAACTAAGATAACTATTATGGAAAAAATTTCTCCAGATAAACCCTTAATGTCATGATATGCCAAGATAACATCATTTTATTAATCTTTCACTGAGAAAAAAGCTAAATGAATTGAATTTGGTTATTCATTTATGAAAGAACTTACAGAAACCATGATCTTTCTAAAAGGAACGATTTATAACTACTTCATAAATCATTGGTCGATATAAGACCAGTTTAAAGTATATAACTGGATATAAACCTCACTTTCAGCTCGTTTTTTGNTATATATATATATATATATATATATATATATATATATTTAATTCTAGGAATTAGATCATAGAATGGGCCGGATCTCTAAATTGGTTAACGATTTCTTTTGTTTGTTTACTTTCTGTACCCTCCAAATTACTAACTGCACCAGTTCACCCAATGCCGTGTTATATTCAAAATTTTTATTTCTTTTATTTTTGGACCACAGCTAATATTTTTGATCTATCAATCATGCTAATTTAAAATAATTAGGTTAATAAAATTAAATTAAAATCATATCTTTCTTCTAATTTTTCAATAAAATTTCAGCGTTGTGTTTGTAAACATGACTAGTGTTTGTAAACACGACTTCACTCTATTTCTAAAAACAATATAAAATTTATTTCTAAACAGAAATTTATACAATAATTAAAAGAAAAATAAGTGTACTTCAAAATATCATTTTTAACATAAAAGTTAAAAATTATATTATTATATAATATATTATATAATAAACTAAGTTCGATTTTTAAGTATGTCCTGTTATAAGAATACAAGACATGTTTCATCAATTCTAAAAACATTCGCTTTCAAACATATTCAGCTGATGTTTTAGGTGAAATAGATTTTGTTTATCTGCTTTATCCCTACACATCAACCATGCCGTCTCGTGACCTCTCCACTTGCAAATTCTGAACTGTATAAACTCTGAAAATGATTTGAAGAACATGCAAAAGGGTCTGTATGGTGCCGTGTGGCTTTAGGTTTTGGTCCCTTTCATTAAAAGAAAATGAAGTCACAGGTTGCAATAGCAAACTTGTTCATCACCTAAAAATGGTGGCAGCAGCGCCATTAATGCTCTCTGTAGCAGAAAAATGAGAAATGAACACAGGTAAACAAAAGTAGGCAAAACATTTAATAAAGGGTTCTTAGGAACAATGGCACAAGCTCTAGGATTATAGACTTCAATTTTGTAAGACTTTGTCTAAATGCAAATGTCAATGGTAAAAGCATTGAACAGTGTTGTGCAGTTGAGGAAGCAATTAATGAAGAAGGAAAGAAAAGTCTGTGACTGAAGCCATCCTTTTCTTTCCTTACAGTTTGCAAAGTTTGAAAAGTAAGCAACCTACTCTCTCACCTTCCTTTTAAGAGACATCCCTTCTTCTTCATTCTATTTCCATGCTTCAAATATTATTATTCTCTTTGAATTTGATTAAGAAAACCAAACTGGTCTGATTTCTAAAAGGCTAAAACCCTTTCTTTCTCTTCAAATTTTCTTCCTTTTTGCTACATTTTTCTTGGGGAGACTTATAAATGTGGCAAAATCAGGCCAATCATTCTTCTTACAGTGATTCTGTCAAGGCTCTTGAAGATGATATACAACATGCTAATTCCTTGTAAGCTAATTCTTCTATTTAATTTTATAGCCAAGTGTATTATTCCATTCCCATTTGCCTTCTTCTTTCCGTTTTCATTTTATGGATGACAAAGGGCTGCAATATCACTGAAATATGTTTGGTATGATTAGAAATTCAAGTGTGATGGAAAACTCTCACTTTGAGTAAAGATGGTAAGAAAAAAAATACCGAGTTTTAGGTTAAAAGTAGTGTTAAAATCTTATATAGGTGAAGATATGTCTCATTTAGTGTTATGAATACATGCAGAATCCTCTCAAAGAACTCATTCGTGTGTTACATGCAACTGGGAAATGCATGTTTGTCCTTTGTCATACCAATATGTTAGGAAGATTCTTTACTGCTATCCAGTCACAAATAATCATATTTAGAAAGTTTATTGATATTTACAATAATTAAGATTTTTTCATTGTCATGTAATTACAAATGCAGTGGTTTATCTATGTCTACAGTAATTATCATGCAAGTCGTTTCATCAATGCAAAAATTGCATAGGAAAAAACTCTGATATATTGTGTTTGACTAGCTATGTTTATGACAGATGAGAACTTTAAAATTAGTGCAGGGCATTGTCACTTCCTGGAGATTGTGATGGGAACTTTTTTCAGATGAAATTATCTTACAGCCCCTTTGCACCTCTTTTCTTGCACTTGATTCAATGGTTGGATCTTAGTTGCACAGATACTTTACCTGTGTATTTGGGATTACTCCATATACTAATTTTCAATGTAAGTCACCATTGTTCAATTTTCTAAATTTTCACTCTTTCGTATACTTTCCCCACCCTTTTGTGGTGGAAATAAATGCAAATGAATTAGCTATGTTTCTTTTGTCTTAGTCCAGGTATACGCTGATGGAATACCATCTATTTCCTCAAGTGAAAGGAAAGCAACTATAAAGGAATTTTATGGTATGTTTTAATGTTATGTTACATATTACATGTGTGTATCTGGTTTTGTTGGTGCCTTTTTTCTCTTGAACTGTGAATCAACTTTGAGGATGATGGCATGCTTTTTGCAGCTGTTATATACCCTTCATTAAGGTTGCTTCAAGGCGAGTTTAACAATGATCCAAGACACAGTTATGCAGAAGTGAAGAGAAAGAGGCTTGAAAAGGTTCTCAGTAAAGATTTAGAGGGAGATGAAGAATGTGGCATATGCATGGAAAACAACATGAAGATGGTTCTGCCTAATTGTGGACATTCCTTCTGCATAAGTTGCTTCCATGATTGGTAATGTCAGATGCCACAACAGAGTTAAATTCCTTTGCCTATTCTGATAACTTCTTTTTTTCATAAATGAGAAAATACAATAGAAATAAATCAGTTTTTTTACTAAACTAAGATAACTATTTTTGAAAAAATTTCTCCAGATAAACCCTTAATGTCATGATATGCCAATATAACATCATTTTATTAATCTTTCACTGAGAAAAATGCTAAATGAATTGAATTTGGTTATTCATTTATGAAAGAACTTACAGAAACTATGATCTTTCTAAAAGGAACGATTTATAACTACTTCATAAATCATTGGTCGATATAAGACCAGTTTAAAGTATATAACTGGATATAAACCTCATTTTTAGCTCGTTTTTTGGTATTGAGTTAGACTTAAATTCATTTTTAACATGTTATTAGAATGGGATTAGAGTCTCTTCTAGTGATATTTATTGTTTGTTTGGAATGGTATGATAAGATATAAAAGTATGTGTTATGTCTTGTAAATGCAAAATGTAACAGATGAAAAATTCAGGTACATGAGATCAGAGTCATGTCCCTTTTGCCGTGGAAGCATGAGAAGGATCAGTCCTGCAGATTTATGGATGGTCATTGGCAACAGTGATGTGGTTGACAGCTTCACCATTGCAAAAGACAATTTGAGACGTTTGTACCTTTTCATTAAAACTCTGCCTCCAATCTTAGCAGAACCACATCTACTATACACATTCAATTACATGCTATGACTTCAACAAAAAAAGTGTTTTAATTATAACTTTTATGCAGTTGAAATAGTTGAATCAGACAAATATGCTTTTCCTGTGTTGTGAACACCTCAATCTCATGCTTATAATATTGAAAGAGTACAGAGCATAAACTATGAAAGGCATCAATCATAGATATTTTGATTTCTTTTACCTGTGAGAGCCTAAAGTTGTGGTTGAATGGCTTGGAAATGGACACGTTCTGGCTTTTAATACACTAATAATCAACGGCTAAATCATGGTGCACCGAGTCATCATAAACAGTTCCTATTTTCACAATATGAGATAAAGTAAACATATATATGAGACATGATATGATGTCATGCTGTGTTCTTCTTTCTTTCCAAATATCTAATGCCTCTTTCAGAAACATAATCATGCTAAAAGATCAGCACAACATCAATGCACACAACAGATAAATGGTGCCAAATTAAGCATTTTTGCTTAAACTTAATTAATCTCAATCACTATATAAAACTATAATCTCTTGATTTTTTTCGTATTATTTTTCTTATCAAAATCTCATTTTATGTTAAATCTTATAAGAATTGATATCATTTTAAAGTATTTTTATAAGTTATATGTTTGTAGGTTAAAAAACAGATTAAGTCTAATTCAATTTCACAAAACATTATATACATTAAATTGGTCTTATTTCTTCTAACTTTTTTATTTCTATAAGACTTAGTTATACTCACACTTGAATTTTTTAAATACAAAATTATTTTACTTTTATAACTATTATTCTTTTATTTTTCCATTTAATTGTCCATTGATTACACTATCTAAATAACTCATATTCCCTAATAATACATTTACAAATTATTTACCATTTATGATTATATCTATAATTTTTATCAATTTTTTTTTAAAAAAGGTGCAAAGTGCCTCTATTACTTTACAAGTTTCTTGCATTATTTCTTTTCATTTGGTAATAGATTTTTTAGAGTATAAAATATATATTCTAAAGAATTGATTCGAAAATGGATGGGAAGTAACATACATAGATGAATAAACATCATCCTATTAAAAAAACCTTGATAGAGTGTTAGATTTTTTGTACTTTTGTTCTGTGTTTAACTGGCCCAGTTGCTTTTATTAAAGAGAATAAAGGTTTATTAACGGAGCCCAAGTGGGTGTATTACTGCTACTACAACGATGATTTCCGAATAACAAAATTGCTTCAGTAAGCCCAATTTACACAACCAAAGGGTGTGATTCTGGCAAGTGGCCCAATCATTAGGCATAAGCATATTCTCCACACACAACTCTCTCATTGCATTTAAACAACTAAAAATATAAAATATTCTCTAATTAAAATAGGTGCTTAATTATCATTACAAAAATATTTAAAAATTGAAATTGAAGAATATCTATCTATCTATATATATATATATATATATATATATAAATAAATATATATATATATATATATAGGTAGATAGATAAATAGATATATATATATATATATATATATATATATATATATAGATAGATAAATAGATAGAGAGAGAGAGAGAGAGAGAGATAGATATATATATTATTTATGTTGGATTCGAGTGAAAGTGAAAAAAAAGAAGAAGAAAAAATAAAAAGAATGAAAAAAGTTTCATTGAGATTAAAAGAAGAGAGGGAAAAAGTGAATATATTCCACCCTATTTGTTTGCATGAGTGAACAAAGACAATACAAAAATAAAGTACATGAGAGTGTTTTTATACTAATTAGAAGTTAACATTTTACTTGATTATTTCTCGTAATATTAAATTATTTAGTATTTAAAACTTTCCAAATAACTAAAACAAAAATAAAAGAAAAGGAAAAATCACCTTCCCCATTTTATATTAATTTAAGAAATAAGTCTTTTTTTATGAATCCCATGAAACTATTTTTCATTGTTTATTTATTTATTTCTCAAACCAACACTAAAAATTATTATTTCTTGTTTATCTTCTTGTGGGTAAAGTGAATAGATGTGGATTTTTTTTGGTTGTAGCCTTGTAGGTAATTGAATTCCACATGTACTATGAAGGTATAAAGGAAAGGTTAAAGTTAGAGGTAGAATATAAAACTCTATGCCTTTAGAGTTGGATTTTTTTGTCTATACATCTTCACTTAAATTGTTGGTAGAATGCATTAAACTAGTTAGTTTTATTTATTTATTTATTTATTATTTATTTATTTATTGAAGTGTTCTAAACTCGGTTTAAAAAATAAATTTAATTTAAGAAATGTTTCATGATAAAGAAAATAATTTTTCTAAAATAATACTCGAATTACTTTTATAAATTCAGATGGAAAAGGAAGATTAACACAGACAAAAGTTTGCAACTTTAATGTGCACTTAATGAGTGTGAAATTAAAATTTGGTACAATAACCCCTTTTGGTTACTTTTTGAAAGGGTTATTATTTATTAAGGAAGCGTGGAAGACACGCGCCAATGGTACGAAGACAGAACCTTTGTTTTTATTTAAATTTTTTTGACCTGACGCTGATGTTTTGTCCCTCCGCCTTTGTGCTTTGTCTTTGTTCAATTCAGTTACTTTTTTTTGGCTCCATTCATATTTTATTATTCACACGTTGGAAACCAACATCACCCTGAGGTGGGTTATAACTTGCATATATAATTTTCTTTTTTTTTTTTCAAAAAAACTACTCTATTTTTTATATTTTCGTTTTGTTTTCTTACAAATTATTTCTATTATCTATGCATCTTTTCATCTATCTATATTTGTTTGATCATAAATCAATAATTTATTAATTATATCATGTGTCATTAATATAATATAATGTTTTGACTGTTTTTTTAATTATTTAATTAATAATTTGGTCTTCATGTTTTGATTTAAAATCTATTTTGATTTTATATTCTTGGATCAATTTAATTGTTTTTTATTAAACTATGTTACCAGCTTGACACATCCCAAACAAAAATATATTTAAAAGATATTACATGTCAAAATTTAAAATATTATTAAAAAAAATTAAATTGAAAATCACACAAATTGTTTATATATACATATTTTAAATAACATTATTACCTAGGATTAAATTAACTCTTTTTAAAATATATTGGACTCGATTAAATTAATTTAATGAAAGTAGTTATTTTTAAGAAAAACTAAAACTAAGTTAACAAGATAAAAGATAGCTATTAAACCTATTTTCTATTATTTTAATTTTTGTATCACTTTGGAACTTGTGGATAGCATAAATACATTTGGGTAGTAGTGCACTCAAAGTTAATTAATATTAATATGAATGTTAATGTTAATTATTAGTAGAATTAGAATGGTAATAGAATTGATGATTGATTGGAATTTGGAGATGGGAACTAAAATGAAATTGGGAATGCATAAGAATTGCTCTTTCCTCCAACAACTTTCCCATCATGTCTGTGAAATGCATTCCACGTGCCTTTCCACCAAAACTATGTCACTCATCACAAGAATTTTCACAATGTCCATCTTCCTTTCTTTTTCCATTTCCAGATCCCATCTTCAGTGAATTCTTAGCTGGTTTTCATTTTTCGTTTTTATATGTTATTTCAGTTTGTTATCTCTGTTTAATATGAAATAAATTTTCTTAACAAAATAACATTATTATGCGTGAAGAAAAAGAAGAAACATAAATTAAGAATGACGGGTGTACCATATAATCGTCTTATCAACGCATTCTTTTAATCACATAGCAGTTAACTCTTATAAAATAACAAAGATTTTTTCTAATTCTTTTACCATTTACACTTCTTCAATTGATCGGTCACATCGACCAATCGACAATTATACGTTAGAATCATGTTTAATAAGGTAAAATATATTTATAATTTTTTGGACCGTAAATGAATCAACCTTACATAAAAATTCGTTTTAAAATTTATACATACATAAATAAAGTAAAGAGGTAGATGATTGTATTTGTTACGAAATTAAAACTATGTTGTGATAACCGATCAGATTTTTTGACTGATTTAAGCATCAGAATATCTTTGACAAGTATACCGTTCTTTGGAACAGGAAAAAAAAAGACTAACGACTTTAAAAGATGGATAATGATATTTTGATAACATTTTTTTGACAACATTTTAACATCATCTACGTATCATTCTGTGATTGGTCCAAAATTATTCTACAATCAATGATAATAATCATAAATACTAACATAGATCAATCACAGAATGACACGTAAATGATGTTAAAATATTGTCAAAAAATGTTGTTAAAGTATCATTATTCTTAAAAGATTAGTGATTAAAGTGTGAATGAGTAGTTTTTTACTATACTATCTAAAACAACCCGGAATTTTTTTTGAGAGATTAATCTTGATCACTGCTGCTATACACATATCAGTTGAGAAAGAAGTAAGTGACACTCCAAGCCAAAGACAAAACAACGTTTGAAAGAAAGTTGAGTTAAAACAAACAACAGTAATAATGAGAAGAGTTAATAGGTTCGAGAAACGCAGGTGGTGCAGATGCAGGTGCAGGGACAACAGAACAAAACAGAGAAGAGAGGTTGGAGAAGTATAGTATAAAGTATAAAGCAGAAACACTGTTTGTTTTCCCTAGGTTATGTTCTATCAGTGGTATAATAGTACACACCTTTTTGCATTTTCACAATCACAGCCCTCACACACTAACTTTCCCTAGGATGCCCCCAACACAACAATCCTCCCACCACAACCCAACCCAGTTCACTTTTTCAGTGTCACAAACATTTTTTCAATTTTCAATATCTAAATTTCTCAAAGCCACCCAACGTGTCCCTTATCTTTCGGCATTAATCTTAAAAAACTGCTTCCACTGTTCCTAGTTCCTTCCCACAATAATAATAATACTTACTGTGCATTGTTTAACAAGTAGCACTGAAGTTGCAGCTAGCTAGGTAGGACCAACCAACCAAACCCAAAGGGATATATACTAACGTACGCCACAGGGACCGTTAGCTGTGCGGCGCCAATATTCGTTGGTGCTCTCTCTCTCTTTCTCTCTTTTCCTCTGTCTTTCTTTCTTTCTTTCTTTCCTTTGATATTTTTTTAACTCTTCTTAACTTGNATTTTCACAATCACAGCCCTCACACACTAACTTTCCCTAGGATGCCCCCAACACAACAATCCTCCCACCACAACCCAACCCAGTTCACTTTTTCAGTGTCACAAACATTTTTTCAATTTT